AGCAATGGTAGTGGAGAAAGTGAATGAAGATGTTTAGTTTGTTGGCCATGCTTCACAATATTCAGTTAACATCACACTGTAAAAAAAAAAAAATCTCTAACAACAATGTCTCTTTTACTGTCAACCACAGTGGTAAACTATTCAGTGGCAAACTTGCCAATGAACATAAATGATTCAGTGGCAAGCGTCTCTAGTTTACGGTAAAATTCTGGCCATCATAGTTGCTGGCAACCAAAGTATTTATACAGTAAAATGCTATGCTTGCCAGAATTTTACAGTATAAATACAGATTTTACCATTTTAGTGCAATAAAATCTGTGTAAACTTCTGGCAACCACAGCTGTTGGTATTTTACTATAAATTAGAACCTTTTCTTTTTTTTAAGTGTAACAGTGCTGTCATTCAGCTTGGCTCTTCTCTCTTCCCAGTAGAGAATGGTTGTTTACAGTGCTGGCAATTTCCAGTAAGATTTATGGTGCCGAACTGGTGCATTACATGTCACACCCAAATATTAGCCATTGGGTACAATTTCAAAATGCCTCCCGCTACGAATCATTTCTTCATACCTGGGCTCAGACCCTCTGGATGAAGCAAATAGAGAACAAGGAGATGGGTTTTACCAGACTAATCTTCCACTAGTTTTCTGACTTGTAACTTAAGCTGGATGTGATGGTATACTGAGATCAGCGTTCTGGTCTCTGAGCAAAATGGAATGCAGCATAAGAAACCGCAGATTGTCAAAGCCCTCTGTAGTTATCCAAACTGACATAACTAGCTTGTCTTTCTATGTATGAGCTCAGTTCTTATCTGCAAACAGGCAGCAGAGACAGTCCCAACATTTCACCACAGTGATGCAAAACAGATTTATGACCTGTCACGTCAGAAAATTTGAGTCCATCTTTTCTGTTTCCACTGAAGGAAGGGCAGAGCTGACTCATGTCCAAACATCCATGGGCAGATCATAGGACTTTCCCCTCAGAGTTATCAGCCTTGCCCAGTGAGCCTGAGCTACTGTCACCCACTGGAGATGTTTTTTTGTTGTTTTTTTAAAGCACAATAGTACAACATGGAGCAGCGCTAACACTTATGCCACCGCTATGACAACAGATGCACAGCAGTTTGAAGTCGTATCTCAGTTTGGATTTTAGGACAATATGATGTGTGAAAGTGTACACTGCTGAGGGAAGGTTGGAAGCTATAAGTGATGTATTTCTACCAGTTTCTGATGATCAGTGAATATGTTTGTGATAAATATAAAAACATAAAGAACAATGAATGTTTAATTTAATATTGTAAGGCAGTAAATGGAAGTATTGTTTTACATTATTTGATGTTTCCATCAAAATCAGCTTCAGTTAAAATCTGTTTGTTTTTCAAAGTCCATGCAATCATTTATGTTCAGAAAAAGCCAGAAACCAGAAACTTGTTCTGTACCTTTCCAACAAGTTTTCCCTTCCGGTTCATGCAGAGGTATAGCCCACTCTCTGCACCTCGTATCCTCACTCGACTGCCGAAGGTGTCAGTCTCCACAAACAGGCGAGCTGCAAGGAAAGATGGACAGAGCTTGACGAGCTGAAGAAGCGACATGCAGGAACAGCAATAAAAGTTAAAGTATTCTCTATGTGATTAATGTACAAAGTCCCTGTCAAATGAACCTATTTATTTTTCTATTTCCTATAGTATTGTGCCTTCTTACACTATTAAAAAAAACAAGTGGACTGAGGTTTTAGGTTCAGATAAGAAAAGCTAAAAAAATAAATAAATAAAAGATTTTTCTTATACAAGGAGTATTGAAACATATTGTTACATGTTCCAACTGTTCATCCACTCTGTGTATTCCTGTTTTATTGAGGATAACTATGATGGCAGTGTCTAGTTGCAAACTGCTAGATGAGTGACTGAATGTGAAGGTACTTCCATGTCTTTCCCTGTCATGATCAGCTTCTGACCATCCCAGTCAAAGACACTGAGCAGACAAACAGAAAAAAGTCTTCCCCCCCGTTGATTAAACAAATGTTATCTCTGCCCATTAACCTGGAAGCAGAATATACACTCTCAATTGACTTTATCCTCCTGTTAATTGCGCCTTTTGAGCATTACAACAGACTTGTGTATTGGGACTATGGAGCCAAAGGACTCTTCCTTATCAGCTGCTAATTTGCCAGACGATGGCCTTATGGATACAGTAGGGAGGCTACATTAACATACAGTCCTGAAAATCTGCCTCTAACGAGAGGGACGGGCAAGGCTGGGAGTGAAACTGCTGGTTTGGTCAGAGGACATTAGTCCCCAGTAGAGTTTCTGTCCCAGAAAACTTAAGCTTATCACTTCAGTCTTCAGAGGACATTCCCTGGTATAATTATGGTTAATTGTTAGCTATAAAACTATAAAGCTGAGTTGCTGCCACAGAGCTGTCTCAGATGTTTTATTCTCATCCTGAACTAAATAACTGGTGAGTTCTACATACATCAATGTTTTAGTTTTAAGCCCAGAAATTTCCAGCAAAAGGAACTTGTGACCAGTCAAGTAAACAGTAGAACCTCAAAGTCAATATGCAAAGAATAGAATGAGGACACAAACAGCATCAACAACCAATAAATTGCTTTGATCTGTTTCTAAGTGCTGTTTGTTATCCTTTCTTATTTTTACACCATAATTAAATTAAATATTTGTTATTATTTTATTTATTTTCTAAAGACCAACATTTGATTTGATTCCCCTCAGTGGGTTCCCTTTGATAACACTGGTGGATGTTTTATATATTCATACTGACCCTAAATCAAACTGGGATCTTTGACATATTCTGGACGCTGTTTCCTCTGATTTGGACCATTCACATGATTTCACATGATTTCATACAGATGTCAGCAGTATTTAAAATAATAATAAACAGTTTAATGTTTACAAAAAGAGGAGAACATTCCTAACTCCCTGGCAAAAAAAAATGTAGAACTCAATCCGAGGATCCGCGTCTGAAAAGCCTGCGGTGTGTTAGGAGAGTGAGGACATCAGCAGGTCCAGGTCACTTCTTACCGTACAGGTTCCCATCCTCCGCAGTGGCGCTGACTCTCTTCCCCTGGATCTGGACGTGTTTCCCGCTGGTTCGGCTGTAGAGCTGGTAGACCCGGACCTGCCTGCGGCTGAGCTGGTCCGTCGTTGCGCCCTGCGTCCTCACATACTGGTTAAAATTAGGAGACGAGTGATTCTCCCCCTTTTTTATGCAAAGGGAAAAATAAAATCCATAATTGTGTCTGTCTCTAATCTGGGATGTATCAGTGCACTACTCATTTCAGAACCAATTTATGGCCCTTGGCTTTTTTAATTAAACATCAAACTACTGATATCTGTCCAGCTGTTATTACTCTAACGACTTTGTATTCTTAAAACGTTTGAAGCTTTCTCACCTGAGCGTGACACCACAGAACAAAAAAATGAAACGATCTGCAAAAAGGTATAAAATATAAGTTAGAGAGACGAAGAGACTCCGAGGCATCAAATTACATTTTAAAAGCCAGGAGACTTACATGTAAAAATAGCGCTGATTTATTCCATACATCCTTACTTCTTATTTCATCCGATTAATCGAGAGATTCCTGAGGCGGATAAATGCCACAAGGATGAAGTAAATAAATCCAATGGCTTCCCAAAAGTGGCATGTGCACTTTTGATGTCCATCCACACCAACAAAGTATTCCTAAGGCAAGAAAACAACACGGACTACCCGAATAAATTACCCAAAGACTTGACCCAGCACAAGTTCATCGATAGATCCACAAAGCGCATCAAAATCAGTCAATTCCATGATATGAAGCCTGGTGGAGCTGTGTCTGCATCTGGGGAGGGATGTGCCTTCTGCCTCGACCGGGTACAGCTTCTGCCTCCCCGGCGGCTGCCCACTGGTGGAATGGTGCAAGGCAGAAGTCCCTCCCTGAAATCTCTCTGCTGAAGGTGGGCACATCACAGGGACCCCAATGATCATTTATTACAACTGCAAACACGTCCTCAAAACAAATCTAAGTGACACAAGTTGTCAGCATTTCAACCATAAGGGCCAATACTATATATCAGTCCAGTCCACCCCCTCTGTCTGATCTGAGCTCTGACTGATGAATTATGTGTAAAAGTGAAGATGAGTGATGGGTGTGGCAGCTGGGTGTAAACCCAACACTAATTCTCTCTTATTTACATAATGCCAATTCACAACAAATGTCAACATGAGACACTTTTCAAAAAAGCTTTTTCAGTTCAATCACAAATACATTCCAATTGATCCAAGTTATCAAACAGTACAGTAAGCTCAGTTTATTATTCAATTAGCTTAAAACGTTTCTGTCTACCAGCAGATATCATCTAGTCATTGACTTGAAGGTTTCACGCCTCCTGGACAAGCGTGTAGCAATATTAGACAATCACTTGCATTGTGTTGACATTACAGCAATCACTCATACAGAGCATGAATGTAGCAACAGCGGAGAGGAAAAACTTCCCTATAACAGGAAAAAACCTCCAGTAGAACCAGAACCGGGCTCACTACAAGCTTTCATCTGTGTTTGAAAAGGCAGAGCAGAATGCACAAGAAACAGATGAACTGATTTAGGATTATTTTCTATGTTCACCAAAAGTAAATAGTTTATATAAAAGGAAGAATGATTAGTTGATGTCCTTCAACAGGAAGCTATAGCAGCCAAATGAAATGCCAAACAACATGTAGCTTTGAAGGAGTGAAAAACAAACTGAGAGAAAACTTAAAGTTCATAGTTGAAACAACAGCAAAAATGCTGCATAGCAAACTATCCAGCTGCATTCCCTTGACTTTTCTTTTCTTTCTTTTTTTTTGTTAATTTTTTGTGTAGTTATTTTGATGGAAAACGGCATAAAATCACTATGTGATCTGGGTGGATTTTATTTGACAAAGCTGTTTGTCCCTATGACATTCGTTTGTATGAACAAAGTAAAATTTCGCTCATTAGGAACAGGAACAGGAAATGTTGATGTGCTGTTTTTCAGGGTGTGGTTTAACCAACAGCTTGTGTTTGAGAATTCTAAGTTGCTGTGTTTCATTTGAGATGTTGTTTGAGATGTTTCAGATCTGGGAAACATGTTTCAGCAACTTGAAGCTGAAACAATCAATGTGTTTCACCTTCAAGTTGCTAAAACCATTGTAAAGACCACAGTAAAGATCCCTGAGGTTGCAGTAGTGTGATGGTGTCTAGGTCCTGGTGTGGAGCAGCAGGGCACCAGGGCATGGTCAGACATTGGTCAGGCTGGAGCTGAAGCTGGTTAGGGAGCTGGATCAGAGCTGTAAGGGCTGTGGTGTGTGGGTGAGGCTGGGCTCAGGCTGAGCCAGGGCAGTGGTGGTTGCTTTAAAGCAAAGGTTTATTGACAGCTATAAAACACGTGTTTTTAAAAAGTCTTCTAAAGTCGCTGAATATTGATGACTGTGTTTTGGATAAGGCCATAAGTTTAAGTTCATGGTTAACTCATGTAGCCTGATTTTAATATTTTTCAAAAATGCTAAAACCAAAGTGGTTTTAATGATGCCATGACACATTTTTTAAAGACTTTATGACACCCCTTCTGTTTAAGCAAAACAGTTGAATTAATGTGTTTAACATGGACTGAGACAAATGATCCATAACTTTTTATACATGTTTTATACATTACAATATTTTGCCACCTCTTCTCCAAAGTTCACATAATTGACATAAAAAATTAAACTTGATAAATGGGTAACTGGTTGAAAAGGGCCAGTGATAGTTCCATTAATGTTGATGATACCAATGCCTAAGTTGCAGCTCAAGGTTCCAATATAGTTTTATTAAGTTTAACAATTCAGCAGCAAAATGATTTAAAATGAACAAAGAAGCTTGTTTGCATGTTTAATCCTCAATGGGTCTGCAGACAGTTGTCCTGTTTAAAGGGATTAGCAAGCCTGACTTGATCAGAATGACGTTCATGATTTAATTAGCAAAGTGTGCAAGTTCATTGATGAAAAGAAAAAATCCATCCATCCATTTTCTGTTCACCCTTGTCCCTTAGTGGGTTTGGGAGGGTTGCTGGTGCCTCTCCAGCTAACGTTCCGGGCGAGAGGCGGGGTCACCCTGGACAGGTCGCCAGTCTGTCGCAGGGCAACACAGAGACAGACAGGACAAATTAATTAAAATATGTGCAATTATTGATTTTGTAGAATAAGGGCTGTCCTGTCTGCTGTAGCAGAACTCTGTCTTTCTCTGGGTTTCTCTTGCTTTAAGTCGTTCTTTTATCTGAATCAGTCTGACAGGAATCGGTTTGATGCCTGACCTGGATGCCAAGTAGATGGCAGCATTATCTGTTCTGATGTCTTTCAGTAGATGACTCATTTGGTTTGTCTTCTTGTTTGGTTGGTAGTGTAAAATAATCTTAAAGAGTTTGACAGTGACTGACATGAAAAGACAAGCAGACTTAAATTGTTCTAAGTCCAAATAATTTGCCTAATAGGTTGCATACAAATGTTCAGTCTGTGGCTGTAGGAGCCAAATGGGATCATTCTTTTAACCTGATGCTGTAGCTCACTGTTGGAAAACCTTTGCATAACCTGCTGTCATCACCGTGGGTCCCTCTGAGCTGCAGTTATGCAGTGTTGTCAGCAAGATGTTTAGGTAACATGATACAAAGGGAGGAAAAGGACAGCATAGTTAGAGTTCATGCCATGCAGCCTACTTAACTCCACTATGTCACCAGATCCTCACACGTCTTACATACCAACACTATCAGACAGCTTGACTTGAGCAATACACTGAGCAGTTGACGCTTCATGCCTTTACATTTTAATGAGATAAGAACACATAGACAAGGGCACAATATGCAGTTTGAAAATGACTCCTGTGTACAGAAACACAGAAACGCTTCAGACTTCAGTCTTATTAGATAAGATGATCAGTTTTCCAGGAATAGCCTGTAAAGCTTCAGCTGTTTAATCTTCCATCCATCCATCCATCCATCCATCCATCCATCCATCCATCCATCCATCCATCCATCCATCCATCCATCCATCCATCCATCCATCCATCCATCCATCCATCCTGGCAAATTGAGCTTCTGAGAAATACTTTTGGAATAAAATAAAAAGCCATGACATCATCATCACAGAAAACTTAATAAAACTGTTCATACGTAACCAGAGAAATAACGCTGGTGAAATTCTCTCTGTTTTTCATACTTTACGATGTCACTTTAATAAAAAGCTCTTTGTTTTACATGGATGTAAGGTCTCAATATTTGCATAATTATGTGTTTATATAAACAGTATATAAATTTTAGTTGTCCAAAGTTGTATCAATATTCAGTTAAGTTATTCAGTCTTCAACTGATCCTACTTATTGGCTAAAATCTATCAGTAATATTAAAGGAATTCCAAAATTGTGATGGACACAAATAAATGCAACTTGTTCATGTTAGAAGGACAATTCTACTATATTTACTCATGGGCAAACTTCAAAGGAGTAAAGTTGACTTCTGATGACCCTGGGACTACAGTAGCTGTGACAAGTGAAAGGAGAACTGGTGGTCTCCAAACAGCTTTGACCACATCGTAAAAATCTCTGCCATAAAGACCAACTGGCCCCTCACACTGACCCTCCAAAAATAAAGGCAAAGGTTCAGAAGCTGGGTGGTCCCTTTTATGTACAATCAAAAGACAAGAATAGTTTTTACAAAGGGAAATAAAAAGAAGAGTCTCTTAAAAACCACACTATTCTTCAGCAGCTGGGCTGTTAATGTGCTTCTACCTCGATGAATGTGCCAACATGTTCATCATTTCAGCTTTCAGATTGCTGATGGAGCAGTTTCAATATACAGTCATTCCTGACTGTATATTGATCCTTTAGTCCTAGAAACTTTCCATTTTATACAAAAAGATGTGAAAATATACAACTTTTTGTTACAAAGGCTGCTGACCCTTAGGTATTGCCCTGCCATTTGCAGCCTGACCATTTGAGCTTGCCAAATTTGACACAGCTGAGTCAGGCAATAAATTTGAACTAGTTTCTCCACCCCCTGTATCCATGATGAGAACTGCCCTTCCAAGCTTCTGAACACACACACACACACACACACACACACACACACACACACACACACACACACACACACACACACACACACACACACACACGAGAACATCAGCAATTTTAACTTAAGGATCATCTGTTGTGGTTGTCTTCCACACCAGACAAAGTGAATCAAGAAAATAACTAATCTGCAGATGAGTTAAACAGCGTAATTGAATCTCAACATGGAGTAGTAGGCTAGATTTATGTAAGATAAATTATTGGCTATGCAAAGTGCTAATGGATGATGTTCAACGTTACAAGGGTAACCAAACAAATCAATGTCTGGCAGGTGAAACTCAATCTGCTAATTCATGATCAACACTGAAGAGCTGCAGACGACTGATTTATTTCAGGGAAAAGACGCAGCAACATTTGTGACCACAGACTTAGTGAGTCCCATGGTTGTGATTCTTACTGTAACAAACACTGGTTGTGTTTGGGTGGCGGTGCCGGTGAAGCATTTGTG